GGAGTTTGAGTTTAATTAGGAATTTCCTTCTGTAATCTCCTATTTAAGGAGCTACGAATTGAAATAAAACATTCAGTTTTCCAGTCAAGAAAATAGTGAGGAGAGTTCGGGTGGTCTCTTGGACAAATCACCCCAAGGGAGAGTTCGGGTGGTCTTTTGGACAAATCACCCACGTGATTGCCACAATAGGGTCTGTACGCAAAGCCAAAGGCAAGGGAAGATCAGGGGTTCCTTCCGTGGAACGACCCATGACGCGATCCTACGCTCGAGCCCATAACATTTTGGTATCAAAGCCTACTGTTATGGGGGAACAGGAGCCGCTGTCTTCCAGGGCCCACGAGCTAGAGCATAGGCTCGCCGAAACCTGTTTGGAAGTTCGTGAGGTCAAGGATGATGTCCGGGAGCTGCGACGCCTTCTGGAAGCGTTTCTCTCCAACAACGAAAGAAGCTCGGAGGGAACCGCCACCACCAACAGCCGCCGTCCGGACAGGGCGGAGATGTCCAGTGAACAGCAGACCGCTGCCCCAATAGCCGTTGTTATTCCCAAGTACAGCCGGCTGGAATTTCCATCCTACAACGGCGCTGGAGACCCACTAGGATGGTTACACCGCTGTGAACAGTTCTTCCTCAACCAGCGCACCGATGACAAGGACAAGGTCAGCTTGGCCGTATTCCACTTGACCGAAGAAGCGCAGCTCTGGTTCTACCGAGTGGAGCAGGAGGAACCAGGTCTTAGTTGGGGGCAGTTCAAGTCGTACTGCCTCCTTTGGTTCGGACCCCCACTAACAAACAACCCTTTGGGGGAACTCATTAATCTCAAGCAGACCGGTACCGTAGCAGAGTATCAGCGGCAGTTCCAGACCCTTCTCGCCAGGGCCTCTTCAGTACGCCCAGACCAGCAGGTKGATATGTTCACAGYTGGTCTAGYYGAACCCMTGAGAGTTGATGTAGAGATGCAGAGCCCGCCTAACCTGGTAACGGCAATGAATTTAGCGCGAGCCTTCGAACGCAAACTGCAGATTAGCCGAGGGCCATTCAGCATGGGATGCCCAGCAGCGGCTTGGACAAACCCGAAGCCTACTGGAGGAGGGTCTTCTCTGAAAGACAACAGGGAACCACTCGGAATGGCTCCATATCCAGCAGCCAGCTCAGAACGGAAGCCATAGACAAGCACCAATTCCAGATCAACATCCAGTGTGGGGAGCAGCGGCGGTACACCCCCTATCAAGCACTTGTCAAGGGCTGAGATGGCAGAATGTAGGGCGAGGGGGCAATGTTTTAATTGTGATGAACTCTACTCGGCAGGGCACAGGTGCAAGGGACTTTTCTGCCTCCTGGTGAAACAAGAGGGAGATGAGGATGAACCCCCTCCATGGGAACCCGATCTAGGAGGGCAAAGCCACCCAGGATTCCCTTTAGGGTGTTTCGACACCCAATTCGAGCTTGGGGACAAGCTCGCAGTCCGGGAAGGGTGTGATGTTATGGACACACCACCCG